AGATGTCAGTTCAGTGGATCAAGCCAGACATAAAAAACACCATCGTAATGCTGCTGTCATACTTCTGCTCCCTAAAAGTTTCCCTTTTAGAACATTTAATCCAGACCCTGTCCTTGATGTAGAACCTCACAGCTATTAAAATGTACCCGAGAATAAGAGTCATTTCGTCATTACAGAGATTGAGGACATTTAATCAGTGCTGTGTCTCTGTCTCTCTCGCTCACAGGGGGTGATATCCCTTGAGCCTCTTGGAAAGAAAGGATACAGCATACCCAAAGCAGGGACCATTCAAGTGGTAAGTTGTCTTTGTCTTTCATCCTCATCTCATTCTTTGCTTGAAGAAAAATGAGACATATCTGCTACAATATGTTGATATCCTTACATTCATACTATAAGGGTCCTGTACTTGCAAGGATTAAACTATATGCAGTATTTTTTTGTGGTTTGAATTAAAGAAATTGCCTCTTGTACCCTTAATTTACCACCACTGCCAGCTGTCTTATTAATGCTGTTTGAAATGCTGTTTGAAATGCTGACTTTGGTCTGACATCTGCTCGCAGACCTTATTTAATCCCAACAAAACTGTGGTGAAGATGTTCCTGGTGACCTATAACTTCGGCGACATGCCCGTCAATCACATGACCTTCCTGCGCCACCGTATCTTCCTGGTGCCTGTAGAGGAGGGGGTTGATGGGAAAAGTGAGGCGTCTCCAGGGAGCGCAGTGGTAGACAGGAAGAAGATTCTCTGCTACCTGATACATCTCAGGTATGAGTGAAATTCCACTTGCAGTCATTTTTACACCTGATGTTTTGTTGGAACTTGACTTGCTTTAATAGCCTGTGCCGTGATGTCTGGATCACAAGATTACAATAACATCAAATGCTTAATTGATATATCTGATATGTAAGAGTGTTACAACTATAGTCTAATGTATATTTTTTTATAATATTATGGTGCCTTTGCAATTTTTACTGAGTATTAGGAAACTATTTTTGTGCACTTGCAGTAGTTTAAGTTGAAAAAATGTTTTGCCAACACATTCTTTTGGTTTTGGCTTTCTCAGATTCCAGAGCTCCAAATCTGGGAAGATCTACTTGCACAATGATATCCGGCTGCTATTTTCCCGCAAATCCATCGAAGTGGACACAGGGATCCCTTATGAGCTGAAATCTTTCACCGAGGTGCCGAGAAACCCTAAATACTCCCCACGCGTGTGACCCCAGCTTGACCCTTTGATCCCCCCCCCGCACCCCCCAAACACCAACGCAGCCCCTCCTGTGCTTCCTAAAGAGGAGGGAGGGAAACAGACAGACTGCTAGAATGATGGACACAAAACTTGATAAGACTTGATGAGACATGCCACATGCACACAAGACACACGTGCACATATGATACAGTGTTACTGATAGTAAAAGTCCTGCTTTTTATGCATTCATTCGCTACTGAAAGTCGAAACGAATTGGTGATTATAAAAACCACTCAGCCGAACACAGCGTTCCTTGTATCTTCCATTGTCTGAAAATATTACAAATATTAGAAATATTAGTGTCCAACATGCAGGCAAAGGCAGGACTTTTACAACAACCTCATCTGTACAAACACTGACACACACACCAAAAGAGACTGACAAGACTCACACACAGCACATAGTACACACGTGACAGCTGAAACACTTCTCGTGGCGACTCTCTGAGTTCAGTGTTAACATGCATGCCTTGTGACTTAAACACCTGAATTTTCCTCTAGTGCCGTATCACACTGTCCTTCACTCTGCCTGCAGCTCCAACCGCCTCATCGGATCAGTAATCTCCACAAGTTTTGATTTGACAAAAGGCCACAATTATAAGCACATCCCTAATTGTGGGGAGAATCAAATGATTACCCTCCTTCCACACTTTTCACACACTTACCGACCAGCGGAGAGGAGATGAGCAGAGACACAAACACTAGTGAAAGGGAAGGCTGACATGGAGTCAGCCATCTTGATCTTGGATGTCTTATCATTTAACACATGATAAAAAAAACACACCAACTTGATTTGACCAAACTCAGGACATCTGACGAAGAATACATTTCTCTTCTTACCGTTTCACCTATCATGGTACAGACCACTGTGTACACTTCAAGCCAGGAGGGCCATACCATGCCCTGAAAAACAGGGGAATCCAGTTCATTTTATGTAGCCAGACTGAGGGACACTGTGCTGTTTTCCTTTTTTTTCCTTTTTTTTAGATTCTGTTCAGAACAGTCTGATGTTGGAGCAGAAAATGAAAAAAACAACAAGCTGTAGTATTTTTATTAATTTATGTTTTCGCAAATGTCTTAATAAGCAATATGCTGCACAAAGTAGAGTGTGTTTTTCATCTGGACGAGCTTTCTCTCTGGAGGTGGGAACAGAGAAAGCGGAGAAATAAGAGTGAGGGAAGAAATGGGAGGAGGGAGGGATGATAGGGGAGGGAAGGGTGGTTGGGTATTTAATATGGGGAAAAAGTCTATGTATATTTAAAAGAATAAACTCTGCGACTGGCGAGTAGCACCCGTGTTTGTTGTTGTTTCTGATTGACAGCCATTGTGGAAATTCTATTTTTACCTCATCATTGCTGTGCTGCACTTTGGCTCTCCACCCAATTAAATCGGTCGGATATCAGCCAGAAGTGACTGTTCCTCATTAAACACAATTTCCTTATCAACGTCATTATAAAATGTTTCAACAAATAGTTAAACTGTAGCGTGTTGACTGGCTATTATATTTCCACTCCTACTTGAGACAAACCAGAAATAATGTACAATAAAGGAAGCAGCTGACTAATAGTCACAAAAGGGAAGCCTGTGAACAGACGCTCAGTTTGATTTCCGTTCTTGCAGATGTATACAAATCTGCATGAGAGGAACCTTTAAGCTATAACATGCTTCCTCTCCTGGCTTCTACTGCACCACTGAAAGTGCTCGGTGGCTAAAGACAGACAGGCTTTGGTTGTTCTGGGCAGTTCTGCAAATATTGATGTCAAACTGTGTTAATGTCAAGTACACTGCACTGCTGAAAAGAGAATCCATCCTCTGTAAATATTTCCCAGCTAAAAATACAGAGGAACATCTATATATATCTCACCAACAAAATACCCAGTCATTCCCGCAATACCACTGTTCATAATGTCAGAATAATTAGTTTAAAGCAATGTAGAAATAGGAATTATGGCCTGATCCTGAACTAATTTTGTATTTTGTGTAAAAGATGGTTTCCAAGATGGCGTGCTTTGTAACATACGGGCGGTTAACAAAAAACAAACAGAATTTAACACAAAAACAAAGAGACTGCAAACACTGCTACAAACATGATTTATATTCAGTTGCTTGTCAACTGATATCTGCTGCAGATGTCCGTTATATCTGTGCCAGTTACTTCTCATTCATCAGCAGTTTTGTGACTGATAAACCTGCAGCTTCCCTCTAGAGTTCTGTGAGGTGTCTCATGTTTCTTAAAGGCATCTTTTAAACCTTACAATGCTGATGAATGACATTAAACTTGACATCAACGACCTTTGTAGCAGCGTTTGTAAATTAAAGGACCAGTGTGTAGGATTTAATGGCATCTAGTGGTGTAGTTGCAGCTCCCTTGCTTCACCCTCCCCTTCCAGACGTGAAGCACTGGCTGCGAAATGCATGAAACACACAAAAACACGGCCTATGTAGGGCCAGTATTAGGTTTGTCCTTTCTGGGCTACTGTAGAAACATGGCAGTTCAACATGCAAGGTAACGAAAACATGACGATTCAGGTGATTATACACTAATGAAAACATAGTCATGCATATCATATTCCATTTAATAAATTACCCTAAATGTTACACACTACACCTTTTTAGGGGGAATAAAGGATAAAAATAGATGAACTCACCCATCTCTCACAAACACAGTTATTTATTCACACACCAGTGCTAACAAGTTGTGTCTCTGCAGTGGCTCGAAAGGCTCAGATGGGCGTTACATCTGTAAGCTTTAAACAGAGGGGAGGGTCTGGATAAAGCCAGCAGTCCCTCAGAGACCGGTGTTTACAGGAGAGCATGAACAACAAAGAAAGTTAAGCAGAACAGTTTTTCATGCTTCTTCTTTCCCATCTCTCTCCTTAGATTTCCCCCCTTTCTTCACACTTCTCCATGATACTTACTATTATCTAGACTTAACAGGATTATTGGCAGCACGATCATAAGGTGGATCTGTGAAATGAATCACCATTCCAAAGGGCAGATTTTACAGGATTTGTAGCCAGTACTGCCTCAGTTTCTCTAACAGCGACACTTGTAAACCCATGCTGACTTGGCCCATAGGATTGTCTCAAAGCATTTTCTGACCCCTGGTGGCAGGAGCCAGTACTGCCGCACCACATCCAGGCCTCAAGTACGGAAGCAGGCTTTAACAGGATGGACTCGAGGCCCATACATGTTCCAGACCTCGTGACGCATTAAATCATTTGCATTATTTGCCTCTTTGGAGCTCTGGTGGTCAAAACATTGTTGCTGTGAACACTCACATACAAAACTCCGGATTACCTAACAGCTGACAAATGTTGCTAATAGGCATTCATCCTAATATGACAAACCTTTACACCAATATTTTTAACTTGGTAGATGGTCTTGAGCGATTAGCTTCTGGATCGTAAACCTGGTAAATTTACATCATTCTGCTAAAATGGCTCTGCAGTGTCTGCTCTGCTTCTCTCATTCTCATTCTGGTGACTCAGGCTGCTTTCTGCTCCTGTCAAAAGAAATTGCTTTGGCACTACATTAATGTCATAAAAATTAGCAAGTCATCGTCCTGAATTCATTGTGAGTCATTCTCGCTGAAGCAGCAACGTGCTTTGATCTTTGAAATTTAAACAAATGCCATGTGTCTTTATGTCAATACCCTAAAATGTTTATTAAGAAAAAATGAGATAGTTGCAAGGAGAACAGAAAACTTTCCTGGAAACATTCTGCTATTACTCATTTTACTTATTACTCATGTTTCATCACAAAAGAAATATTAACATACATATTAGTGTCAATAATCACAATATTCAACTATCCTGTCATTTCTTATGTTTTGATAAGGAGGTTAAATGATTCAGCAGCTGATGAGACACAAACATTAAGTTTAACATAACCAAGATCAGAGCTGGTCGTTGATTTTCTAAAGAAAACAAAGTCTGCTTTCTTTTATAAGCACATCGAAAGATAATATGTGCTATACTGAGGTGGCTATTTGTGTCAATTACGACAACTGTCCCATCATATTTAAATATTTTAATCCTGTGACAAAGATAGAAGACATCATTTATGTTACTGTTTGGTGAGGAGCTTCGTTCATTGATTGCTAATATCATCCATAAATAGTCCCATCATTACCCAACTGATCAGGGCTCACTGGCTGCAGACCCCTGTCTTTTTGTAAAATCCCTGAGCGAGTGTAGTTCCTCCTTCCTTCCTCTTCTTCGTCTATATGACGTCAACCAGTGTGTTGGCAGCGCCCTCGATGGCCTGGCTCAGGACTGACAGGTGGTAGTGCACTTTGTCCCAGTCCCTGAGCTGTCCTGATGACTCAGCTTTGGCGTAGGCATCTGCCAGACCCGGGAAGGTTGGCTTGCCAGCACTACTTGAAGCCCAGATAACATGCCTGTGTAACACACAGGGAGATAAAGAATGATATAACAATGATAGGCAGTTGAACAATTAATAGAGATGTGCTGAGTCACAATGAAGCAGAAAATCTCTTGTCAAGAGACTATGGCGAATCCAATGAGAGGAGGAGCGTAAATGGGTGTCAGACAGGAAGAGAAGAGAAAGGAAAGACTTTTAGCAGAAAAGAAACGGAGTTCTGGGAAACTTCAACTAAATAAAAGTGATTTTATTGTATCAATAGAAAAAGTTAACAAGCATCTCAAGCCTGTCGAGCACATGGTACACAGAAAACTACACATAGCTGCTTCATTTTATTTCAAGACAAATCATCTTCTTACCTGAATGCATATTTATCCGGGAAGGCCAGGGGGTTCAAGAAAGCTCGGTCCAGCAACATGAGCTGATCGTTGATCCTTCTGACCTTCAGCGGACTAAGAGAAGAGATGGAGAGAGAAGGGGTGGTTCATTTCTATGTGGGCAGAAAATGGGAAAACAACATGTCTGTATCTGTATGTTTGTGCTCTTACGCTTCATTCGCCAGGTCTGAACTGAGAATCACCTGGTCCAAATGGGTAGCTGCACTGCGAAAGCTGGCCACTGCACGTTTTAGTGGTTCTGAAAGAAGACACATCAACTGTGCATACCGCCTGGCAAAGATTTTACCCTCTCTAATCCTCTGTGACTGCTAGTAAGAGAAACAGATGCTCCTTCTGTTGTTTGTTCTGTTCTTAAGTGCAGCCTGAAGACAGTTTTTTTGCATTTATGTCCTCAGGTTTTTCCGACTACAAAGAGCATTTTTTGTTAATGCAGGTTATGCATAATATTCACTGCCCCATCTGAAACACTCTTGACAGTCTTGACAGACTGAAAAATATAACCCAAATGAAACACATTTACTTGGATAATTTCTATTAGTGTGCATTGTATACTAAAATATCCCCCTGCATCACTGAAACATCTCTACCTGTCCTGTGCTTACCCATGGATATATGCTTCGCTTGCAGTTGATTCTGATATAGGTTCACTGCTGTCTCCAGGTAGTCCTCCAGAATCTCAGCGTAGTCACTACAGTTTAATGGCAACACCAGGCTGTCAGCCAATCGGATCAGGACATTTCCCGCTGTCCTGGCAATGGCCTGGTGACTGACAAACCCTAAGTGGAGGGAGTTGTAAGAATGAGATGTTATACATTAGAGGAATTGTTGGGAAAATGTTTTGCTGTCTAATCAGTTATCAAGTTTGACAACAGAAGTTCGAGAAATTGAGTAAAAACTAAGAAATAAAGGGCTTTTTGTTAAAACATACCAAATTTTCCAATGGTATAACATAAAATAAAGCATAATCTACCAATATACCATGACAGAAACATGGCAGAAAGACTGAATTTCTGCCACTAACTGGTTGTACAAGAGGTACAGTACAAGAGAAGCCAATATGTGATAACATGAGAGACGTCATAGCTCACCAGGATCAATGAACTTAGAGGCGTAGTCGAAGGTGTCGTATGCTGTGTGGTACGCAGGGTAAATCCGAGCATTTGTTTTACTCTGTATGAAGAAAAACATCCATATGATAAAAGTTAAGACTTCTCTACACACGTGCTCACCAAAATGAGAAACTTTTCTTGAGTGACAGGTTTTTTAACACAAGAGATAGAATGAGACAGCTTAAAATAAGCAGTGCAGAAAGACAGCAAAGTGCAACAAATGTAAGATCCAACTGGCTGGGAGGAGGAATGTGTCTTGGGCCCAATGAAGAGAAACCAAATGACAGCAGAAGAATAAAAAACAGGCTTTCATCTCAGGCCACAACATTGCACTACAGATTGAAGACATTTGTGCTTGATGCTGCTGCCTTCACGGTCCGAATATTTTAGTGGAAAAAAACAACTGTACCATTCAAGGTTTCTACATCCTACATACTAAAAGCACTCGCATTGTCATCAGACAAAAATGTATTACAGTAAGCCAGAGGCAGCGAGTTTATGAGGACTTCTTTCATACCCTGTCGTAAGTGTATGAAATGTCCATGGCAGTGATTCCCAGGTAATGGACGAAGGCGGCGTAATCACTACCTGCTCCTGACAGGTATCCCATCCTATCAATGGAAGACAGAAAACAAGATGCATCTTTTATTGCGAGACAGACCTGAGATTTCCATGTGGGCACATACATAGTAGACTTATACTCAACAAAAAAAAGATGAAAAGCAACACAAATTGAACTTGTTATCTTATGTTTGTGGGTTCATATATCTTGTCCTGCTTAGATTGTCTCATCCTATCCAAGATTCTATCATTTAACCAGCTAACCCTAAATGTCCGTTCACACGTCTCTAAAAACTACACAGGATGGATGAGGTTTCTTGGTTCAGATCAAGAATGAGAGAAATATCTCCCATACATAGTTTTGCAAACTCTCAAACAGATATGGGGGATTTGAAATAAAAATCTTGATAACTTTTCTCCCAGGATGCAATGCAAGATGTGGGAAAATCAGATAACTATAACTGTAGTTCATTACCTGGGTATGCGTCCATGTGCTGGACTTGTCCTGTTGGAATATTTGATCCAGTTGTCGTACACAGATGTGGATTCCAGTCCGGCTGCATTGACCTAGACAACAAACACCCTTTCATGTGACAGGTTCTTAGTGCGGACAACAGTTTTTGTTCAAGCTGAAATGCTGGATAGAAACAGCTGAACTGACATGAGTTTATTTTTTAAAGAGCTCACCTGTTTTGCAGCTTTGAAGATGACATTCTGTACTGATGGCATCCCTGAAGCTCTGAGGGTGGCGTTGGCTGAGCAGGAGATGAATGAGTGTTTTGGATTAGCATCACTATTAACTTATAACTATTTCCAAGGCACAAGACTTGCAAGACTTGCAAGACTTGAACAAGACTAGTGAACACAAGCAACAGTGGCAGCCATTGTAGGATTTTTATTATACATATTTAACATTGGGAACCACAAAATAATGCCAAATGTCTTCTTTATAACATGGTAGATGATGTTTGTGATACTACAATGGCTTTGTCTATCCAAGTAAACCCAAGGACTGAGACTATTACAAGGCATTAGATATTTTCATTTAATCCTAACAGGTAGTGCAGGTGGAGCTTCTTACCAAAAACGGCTATATCCACATTGATGTAAGCTACGGTTCGTTCACTGAGCTTGGTGAAATATTGCTGGAGAAAAAACAAGATCATATTTATATCCGTATATAAGTACACAAAACAAAAACAAATTGTGGAATAATGGTACATTTAGTGTCACAGTAATATAAGTAAAAATAATTCATGTTTTCATTTGTAAATAAAGGCTTTTCTTTCTTTCTTTAAAACAAACAGTTTAGAATTACATTTACATATTACATTTACGTGTTAAAGTTTACAACATCTTGTGGATTCATTGTAAATCACCTCTGTGTATTCTGCAGACCCAATAAGGCCAAACTCCTCCGCTCCCCAGCTTCCAAAGATTATGGACCTACGTGGCCTCCATTTGCCTGCCACAGAGAGGAAGAAAAATAAACTCTTTATCCTGTTGTAAAAACAAAACAATCATTCAGTCATTCATTCAGTCATTCATTCAGCTATTAATATCCTCACCCTGCTTGACCATCTTGCCCAGCACTCTGGTCAATTCCAGCATGACCGACGTGCCACTGCTTGGGTCAATGGCACCATGAACCCAACTGTCCCTGTGGTTCCCATAGATCACATACCTGTCTGTGGACACAAACACACAGCAGTCACAAAGTAATCACAAGCTGAAATTAGACAAAATATAATGGCAGATTTACACATAGACCTCTCTAGACCCACCTGGCTCGACACTCCCTTTGATAACTCCCATCACATTGGAGGAGTTCTTCAACTCTTCATGGTTGAAGATGTCCAGTTTCACATCACTGGAAAAGAGGACACATTTACACATTTCAGACGTATGAAGCAGCAAGAAGGCAGACAGATAGCTGTCCCACTGCATGACCGCTGCCTCTCTTAAATTTTAGCTGAAATGGTCTCTAATGTGAATAAAAAATGATAAATTCATTTCTATGTGGTTCTATTGTATTTTTTTTATGTGTGTAACTACATTACATTTGCTATGTTAGGCATTCAGCTGTCACAATGTAGTTGCCCTTTTAGTACAACATCAAAACTAAATAAAATAATAATAATAATGAAGTTTACTTCATTATCTTTATATCATTTATTTGAATTGCTGAACGAAATTGGAGATGTGGGTAGAAATTCACAACATTAAAATGAGATTATAAAGAAGCCTATATTTATATATAGTATATTTATAAAAAAAGAAAGGTATGATCATGTTTATTTTATTATATAAAAAGGTGCATTGCTCAATAAAAAATGCTGAATATGTCTGGCAGTTGACCACCTGTTGTTGAAAGCAGATGTAGGTTTGAAACCTGGACCACCAAAGTTGTAAGTACAGTTGAATGCTCCCTGCCATTCCTTGGGAGCTGCTTCTCCACCTAACTCGCTGAAATGACCAATGAAAAAAAAAAAAATTAGAATTAGGATATAACCAACCATTTTTTGGCAGAATTAATTGCCTAATTTGTCTCATCACAAACCAGATTAGTATGTAGGCATCCTCAAATCCGATTGGTTGAGTTGGAATAGGAGGGATTCCTGTAATGTTCTCAACAGGAATTCTGTAGGTTTCCTCTGTAAGATAATGTAAAAAAGTTACATATTAAGATAAAATGACCTGACTTTATCTTTTTATGTATGTTCGAAGCTGTGCAGCTGTTGTAAAAGTCTTCTTTCAGACGGTAATGGAGCCAAAGTGCAGCAGTAGTAGAGTAAACACATCATAAAAGAGAAGAACACTACTGTATGTGCACCATATTTACACAAGTCATTAGTTACTTTTGGCAGCCAGGTAGGGTGTGAGCATGTCTCCATAATGAGTGTTGAAGGAACCCCTCTCCACGCCAGAGGGCGGCATGTACCAGGAGTGAGGATACGTCTCACTGGCGTCTGACATGAGACCATCGTTGATGTCCAGAGGATCTGTGTAAACAAGCACGCCAATGACACCATAGGGTGCTGCATTGATGGCCTGGATGAGACACACAAACACAGATATTATTGTGTTAAATTAAATAATGACATTACATTACACTTATCTTTTAACAGACATTCCCACAAGGAGGCTTTTGCTATCAAACAGTGACAATGCTCATGCTTGACCAAACCTTCTTGTGAATGTATTCCTGTCTTTGTGTTCTGTTTTCCTCTGTGTTGACTATCAACATGAATTAGGTAGAAAGTGATTCAAACTGTGGTAGTAATGCCTTCTGACATGGTGCTGATTGGTGATTTGTCCACTATAAAGAGTCTCTGAGAGGCTCATTTATACATGAATGAATAAACCTACAGACTCCTTTTGACCATTTTAACAATTTAATGAGAAACTGTGAAATTGCAAAATGCAGTACATTTAACACAAGTGGTTATATACTTTCTTAAGAGTAAGAGTTATAGATATAGATAAAGACTTATAGAGATATTGTATTTGCATGATTTTATAACATTATAACAAATAATCTATGTGCTTCTTTATGCTTTACATATACAAAAACTTGTTTTGAATCCTGATGAGATACTTTTAAATGATATTTAAGCACTTTAAGCACATTCAAGTCTGCAAAGTTTCTATCTTTGTTCTCAGTTAACCAGTTGGTGTAATTAACTGAGATGGTCTCAGAGTCGCAGTGCTGTAGGAAAAAAAAGGAAACTATGAAATTGCAACATGTTTGTCCTCTGTAACATTTATTATCTCAATAAAATGTGTTGTTTAAAGATTAGAGGTGTTGACCTTAGTGAGGAAACTTTCTAAAGCACTCAAAGCTCACAGGGATGTTACTGACACAGAACATTTGTCTCACCTGGACAGATTGTTTCTGTTTATTTTTTATAAAACATTACTAAACACAAACAGGATAATAAGCCGCTCACTAATAAGCACAAGTGTAACTCACTTTAGCAGCTCTTCCTGCTCCACCATATCTGGTGATAGCGATGGTTCCTCTGAGATCCACTGTCTGGTTCAACAGGAGGTAGTCACTTGGTTTCCCCTGGTTGGCGTACACCAGTCGCCCCTTAAAACCACCAGAAAGAGCACCTCTGTGTCAACAACAGCAACTCAAAAAGTAACCCAGAGAACAAAAAGCCAGGACTAGAAAATGTGATATTTTAATAACACTAATTTAAATACACAGCTGCCTTTTGTGCAGTTTTTTAGTCTGGGATATAGCAAATATTTTTCTACAAGAAATATATACACTGTATTTTTTCATATTCTTGAAAACCTCTAAAGATCATCACACTGCCCCCTGAGAATCCTTTCATTAAACTCTAATAGGCACATCTTAAATTCATTACAGCCTCTTATCACAGCCTCCTCTTTCATCATAACCACTGTTATGTCCCCCTCCTCCTCCCCTTAGATAGATAGTGATATACCAAATCAATCAATCTTGGGCACTCCTAACAGATGGGCTGTTGCTGGTTCATTAACTCAGTCTACATCATAATTCGTTAATCTCTATACGATAAGACAGACAAAGGGTTTTACCCTTAGGCCATATCTGCACTGGTAAATCACCAGCCATATCTGGCTTTTACTGAAAAACAATCATTCAAAAATACTATTCTCTTAAGTTTTTTTCCTTTTTCCATTTTAAGGTATTTACATTGTATAGATCTATATAAACTAAACCTCCCCCCAAGCTTCTGTTGTTGCACCACCACTTGTTTAAACTAGGAGTTTCATTTTTTAAAGATCTCAAAATCTTGGAACCTCATCACAGTCCAGTAAAGACTTGTCTGTCAAACACAGGCAATAGTCCTATGAGCCTACAGTGACTGTGGCTAACAGATACATGTCCCTTATCTTTCCTCTGTCAGAGGATGAAAGCAGGGGCCTCAAGGGTTATGAGAGGTAAGCTTGTGCTGTTTGTGTGACAATCATGTGAATTACTTTCCATAAATGATGAATGCTTCATTCAAACAGGGTGTTCCATTATCACCAACTAACTTTTTATTTGTCCATGTATCTGTCTATCCATGTATCTGTGCAATGAAATACTGGATGCTTCTTCTGTAGATGAATTGCAGTATATGGCTTCTTTATGGTTTACAGGTATTATTTCTTCATGACCTTGGCTAAGTGCTACAGATTTGGTTTCCAACACAAAGGTTGTCAACTTATTTGTGTTTTTAAAAAAGCCCTCTTTGTTTTTTCCTGAAAATAGTCCATCACCCAGGGGGGTAAATCATAACTTTGTGTAAAAGTTAATTCAGAGAAAATTATATTTATGCTCCTTACTAAC